ATATTGTACGAAACAACTTCGTGACCACTGAAATTAATCGATAAGAATTAATTGTAACGACCAGCGGCTAGTATAAGTAACTCGGAGGGAATCGTCAAATTTCAAAGGAAAAGATAAGAATTACCGTTCATGGTTCGCTTTAGTACTTTATTTAATTGGTGATTCGTGAAAAGATAGTCACAGCAATCGAACAGCGTGTAAAGAGATGACGATACGACCAAACTCGGCGGTATACCTCTCCGTCAGAACGTCGTCACGACGTCGCGGACAATTACGTTTCGATATCATAAGTATAGAAATGACACGACGAGCAATATTAAAAAATTAATAATACAAGCGGAACACATGCATGTCGAGGTTGTTGGGAACGAACAACCGTGCATCCACTCGGTTTCTTCGTATTTTATAAACTTATGAATGCAAAATGTACATGTGCCAACAGTAGCAGCACCAGCAGCACCAGCATATAATGATGCGATATCAGGTACGTACGTACATACATAGCAATACACTAAGTCTTGTCACTCGTTCTTCTTCGGCAAGGATGAGGAGGAGGGCGAGTGCGCGAGCAGCCAAACGCGAGAATCAAGAGATCCGGTACCAAGCCGAACCGAATCGAACGCATCCGAGTGAGAATAAGTAGTAGCGAGATGTAAAGTTTAGTAAAGCGGCGGAGGAGGAATCAATTGTCGTACCATTCATCATTTTCATGTCCCACTATTTTAACGAAACAATAAGTCAGTCATATCTGCATTATCTCGATACGAAACTATAATGGGCGTATGTGTACACTGTACATACGTATATATACATGTATATCTATCGTTTCAATCGTACGTTACACGCACTGGAAGACGACGATAATGAACAATTATTGGTTTCCAACCATCAAGTGTCGCGGTACAGATGGACGATTTTTGTATACTCTTACGTACAAAGTAACGAAAGAATAAATGCGTCTTCGGCATACTTAGAGGTGTACATTCATTATTCTCTTTATCTATTCCTCATGCTTCGAAAACGACTACTTGAAAAAACAATATGACCAATTTTTGTGAACAATTTTTGGCTATATTTCCGAAAAGCCCCGTTCTTCGAATTGGCTGAAACTTTGAAAATAAGTTTTTTTTTTAAAAAAGTCATGATTGCGAGAAGGACTTTTGTCGATTGTAAAAAAAAAATTTTACCATTTAGGTGTCATTGTCTAACAATTAATATTCACGAAAGAAATTCAAAATGTCGAATTTACGTGTATATAAGGGTACGCGGTGCCCGACGGCAATGCTGTCCCCTGACGGGCCTCAAACTTGCCTTCGGGCCGCTACCGCGCAAATCTGCCCCTCCACTTATGCACACTATTGCACTGTATCCGTGTGCTCCGAGCTCGGCTCAACTTCGGTTCAGTAGAGAGAGAAGGCGAAACATCAATCCGTCGCTCTTGCTCCTGATGCCGACTGACGGCTGCGTGCCCGCTTGGATTTTAACACATCAGGAGCAAGAGCGACGGACTGATGTTTCATGTTCTCCTTCTACTGAGCCGAAGTTGAGCCGAGCATGGAGCACACGGATATGGTCCGACAGTGTGCGTAAGTGGAGGGGCAGATTTTCAGTGGCTCTCGTTCTTAACCTGGCATCTTTGCTGAAACCACTACTCGATCGGATATCGACAGTCGATACAAAGAAATGACAGATAGGTTATAAACAGTCGATTTAAAAATTGTTGGCTCAGTTGTTTGTTAGTCGGCGTAAGCAAAACACCGCTATGTAATATGTAGCAATTTGTAAGTATATAATACTGCGGATCGAAATTAATATTGAAAATTAATGCTAAATGAATTTTTAAACGTATGTTATTAAAGATGAAAGTCTATTCTGTCCATTAATACTTCTACTTTTAATAGAATATCGTTAAAACCAAAAATATTATCGATTTTAGAAAGATGTATGACTAGCATTTAACCAAATGTATCGAGATTTCATTTAAGTTGAAATTCAAATGACAATAGAAAATTTATCATTAGTTTTTAAGAAAAGATATTTTTTTTTAATATAATTAGTCATACTTAAAGTGTTTTATAGTGTATTTAAATATAATATATGGGTCATAATTAAATTGTTTTTAATGATTTTATAAGTGTCAGCAGTAACTGGCACATCCGCATTAATACCTACATGTACCCTAAATGGTGGAGGGAAAAGTAGAAGAGGAATTTTGGAATCAGGAATTACCCTTAGAGAAAAGTCGAGCAACATTCTCTATAGTCTTATTAAATCAGACATTACATCACTGAGTAATACATACACGTATATGACCTCGTCACTTTAAAAGCAACTGACTTATGTACACAATTCTCCTTTCTACTGATCTTAGTATTAAAGTAGTGTTTATAATGTGGTTCGACACAAAAATTCATTAAATTCAGAGCAGATGCCTACAATATACGTTCACACAATAGAGGTATGCGAAAACCCAAAAATGTCGTAAACGTTTAGAATTCGCAAAATCTTTCAAATTCCCAAAAATGTCTATTCTACGTGAAATCTTTACCTGTACCGGAAGCCGCGTCCGAGTTCACGGACATTCTACTAATATCCGACGTTCGTGTGATATTCATTATTGTGGAATTCGTTGAAGTGTATATAGATGAATCGTTGCTCGTAACAAGGGTCGTGTTGTCAGGTGGGGAGGTAGTAAGCGTAATATCAGACATAGCCGTCGAATTCGCAAGATGCCTCAATGGTGTATCGCCAACCATGAATGAATCTTCCTATTATGTTTAGGAGGTAAAAGATAAGAACATTCACTAAATGGTCAAGTTTTTATGTGGAAATTAAATTATAGTAGTTTGACAGTCCAAGTACAATATACTCTATACTTCATACAGGTGCAAAAACTTACATCGTACTCCGGTCGCTCGACAAGTTTCTTCGTTTCCCGAAATCTCTGAAGAATTCGTTCATGCGGAGACGTAGTTGTGAACTGGCGAGGATAAGAGAATTCTCTTTTCGAAGGGGTTGTTCCTGAAAACATAATTATTCAGACCTAATTGTTCACCAATTCAAAAGTTTCATCAACTTAATTACTAATCACGAACACTTATTTATTTTTATGTGCCCTTTTTATGTCAGATATAATACGGCGCCTCGTGCTTATACTAACCATCAATTAAATTAATAACTAAAAAAATATATGAATAATGGAAGAAAAGAAAATGGTATCGCGATGGCGAAAAACGCGTAGTAAATAAAAGGTCAAATACCTGTAGGTACTTCGCGTTGCATATCTTGGGTGAAGAACTTATAAATGTCGCTCTCCAGTTGCTCCAACTTTTCGACAACGTTATTGTTCCGCGCGGTAAATTCCGTCATACGAGTTTCTAATTTCTCGGACGTCGCTTTCGTAGTATCGGAGATCTCGATTATTTTATCGTTTATGAACGCTGCCTGGTTATTACTCACATCACCTATCATTACTTGCGACTCCTATTAAAATATTTCATGTTCACAGTATAAATTAAAATTGATCCATACTGGGGGTTACACATACATAATCGATTAAATCTTTAATTTAATTGAACATCAGTCAATAATTGATTCTTAATTCAAATTGGGTTAATTATAACTTAAAATTCAATCGTCAATTGAGATTTCTTCAATTAAGATTTGATATTTAATTATCAATACAGATTTCATGTAATGAAGAATAAGAATTTCTTCATTTGCGAATTTTTTTTAACAAATGAAATGCAATTTTTAATTCTCAATTTGACAAGTTGAATCAAAGATTAAATTTCGGTTCCTAATCGAAAGAAATCGCAGTCAATAGACTCCGGATCTGTATGCAATATAAAACGCTTATAGTGTCAGTTTAAAAAATGTGTTTCACGTAAACATACAAGTATATTAGATCATTTACACATTAAAATAAATATCTATTCAGCTTTTGATATT